CCCCCCCCCCCCCCCCCAAAAGAGAAAAGGAAAGGAAAAGTAAAATCAAGTACCTTTCTCCTTTTTGATAAGCACATCCTTGACAAAGTTGTTTTCGTACGCAGTTCCTATAGACAACAGATCACCTCCCATGGTCTGGCAGTGGGTTTGTGCGTCCATCCAGGTTTTGTTCTCATGAAACATCTTTATTACCGAGTTACCGAGACGATACCATTCATCGGGAAGTTCTAAAACAAATTTTAAAGTATGAAAATATTACCATGCAAAAGCTATGTAGTGAAGCTTCAATTCTAGTTATGGATTCATTCATTCGCAAACCGGTTGGCTCAGTTGGTTGATCATCGGACTTTCGTGTGGTTAGAGTCCCGGCCGGACCAACACTCAGGGTCTTAAAATAACTGAGGAGAAAGTACTGCCTTATTTTGTAATTACATCTGCAAATGGTGAGACTTTCAAGTGGCTCGGATGACCACTTTAAATGGTGGTCGTAAGGTCGGAGGGACGTAAAAGATCCACTGAGGACGTAAAGAAACCCTGGCAGAAACCCTACACTTCATAATAAACATCTCTCATGCTTGTAAATTGCATAAAAAACAATCTGTCATTCACTTCTCAATGTAAAGCGCCTTTGATTATATCCACATAGAAAGGGCGCTATATAAATCATAAATCATCGTCATCATCATGTAGTTAAATTGTGGTATATTAACTCACTTTCCTTGATCTTGCATTCGACGTTATCACAGTCATTAATTTCCTGGATAAAAGTAAAATAGACAATTAACTATAACCCGACGTATAACACAAACAAATACGGCATTCAACACCACTTACCTTCATTTGGTGGTACTGGGATCCCTGTGTTGGTACCAGGCTCCCTGGACTCGCTTTCTTGCTGGAGTTGTTCAGTTCACATTCAACCATCCCAAAATTGTTCATGCGAACATTGATCGAGAAGCAATTCATGATCCATACACATTTATCCCAGCACATCTCGACATAGGGTGTGGTCATGGTTGTTATCACGTGGTCTTTGAATTCTACATCTTGTTCTTTGACAAAGCTGTACTTTTCACAGGCGTGAAAAATGTAGAAATGGATGACAAGGACGCCAACGGAGAGGAACCTCATTTTTGCGTCAACTAATATGGCGCAATGACGTAGCATGCACCTGCTCTGTAAGACCTATATCTGTTTTGGGGGTTGTTTAGTTTACCTAATTCTATAACACTGAGATGGAAGAAAAAATATCTAAAATATTATTAAAAGAAGCAAAAGGGAAAAGCCATAAGCAGAAATGAGAACTGTGTCATTTAGAGACCTTCTGACGACGAGAACGAGTTTCTTGGCAGTCATTTCGTAGTCGTGGTCGTGTAAGTAGATTGAAAATTTAGACTTTAAAAAGTCGGAAATTCACTACGATTCAGTATTAACCACGCGCACAGAACCAATTTTAAAACACGTCTACTCGTACTTGATCTCGTACTCGTTCGATTTAAAAGTCTCTATTTTTTTTAACGAGGCGACACTACTTACCGAACCCTAGCTGGAGAGGACAGAAAAGTTCCTGGATAAAATGAAACTAACTCTACACTAATGTAAAGTCGATTTCATTGGAAAAACATCACAACAGTTAATTTTTAGCAAGACTTAAACTCGGTGGGGAACACGATTTAGTGCACCAGTGCGTCATTCACAAATCTTAACCAATCACGCGGAATAATCTCCAAATCTTGTTTATATAAAGAAAAGAATGCTTCTTTCATAGGCTTTGTCAGCATAGTATAAATATTTTGCAGTAAACCTGAAAAAACCACTGTTCACGAGTCATGGTAATATCGTAAAGGGTGTATACGCTTCCTAATTATTATTTTTTCATTATATCTCTATTGAATTGTGTAACTTGAACTTAATGTAGGATTTAACATGCACATAAACTTTTACAAAATTAGGTATAACTTTATTGATATATCATTTTTTACTAGCTACAATTTCATCTTGGCCTTTGCTCATTCTCCCGCTTAAATTTATATCAAAGGGTTTTCTTGTTTGATATGGAAAGTTTCTCGCACGAGCTTGTGCTTATAATGCTCTCAGTTTTGTAGGACTTTTTGGGGCTAAATTGATTGACATTTAACAATTAGGCCGACGAGGTCGAGTTTTCTAGGAGTCAATAGATAGTCGATGAGGCGCGTAGCCTAGCGAGTAGTCTAATTGTTTTAGCATAAACCTACTAGCTAATATTATAGTAATGAAAACAAGGAATGACACTGAAAACTTTGTACAAAGCGACGGTCAACCGCCGGCACTGTTTTCATTCATCTTAAAGTGCGAACTCGACCCGATGTCTCGCTCTATTTCTATAGCTTTTTGTCTCTGTTATCACGCTCAAAACTCTCTTTCCAAGATTTTTTTTCCTTTTTATCTGTACTTGAGATCATTTTTCTAATTAATGAGTGATAAACTGAACCGATTTATATACGAATATTTTGTTGTCACATCATTCAAAGGCGTGCCATGTTGACAATTCGCTTAAGATTCCGTGTCAGTTAACTTGCACTTTCTTTATTGTTTCGTCTGTTCTTACCGTTTAAAATTCTTCTTGAATACATGTGAATAAGTTGTCTTTTGGATTTTTTCTATTCTTTGAGGAAATCTCTTAAAATGCCATCGTTATCTCAGTAGTCAGTTGTTTGTCCGTCGTAAGTTTGCACATGAAAATCTCAATGTAATCTGACGGCCGCTTTTTCGTGTTAAAATTGCCATAATTCTTCAGTTTTTTAAAAAATTTTGATCTGTACTGTCCAAAACTTCCATTCCTTTCCTTCATAGAGTCTTGTATTTTCTACAATTGATTATTAAAGGTTTTTTAGAGAACAAGCAGAGATTTCGACGAAACTTGAGCATGCATTTGATTTTTTCAATCAGATCACAGGATTCGTGATAGTATGCTAGTAGGTTTATATGCTAAAAGTATATAGTTGAACACAAACGACAACTGAAATTTCGGAAGCTCTATTGGATATCATCATCGATCATCGTTTACTTACCTGCTTCAAAGATATCTCTATGCATTCATATGATATTTGTAAACATTGCAGCATTTACAGAAAATGATGGGTGTGTTTAAGAAAAAGAGTATTGGGAAGAGAGAAAAAAATAAATATTGATCGTTAACATACTTTTCTCATTGACCGTCGTCTTAATTTACCTTCAACATATATATAATGAAAGGCCATTAATAGAAATAAGAATGTCACATTGATTCATCCCTGAAAAATTCAATAGTTTTCAATCTTGAATATTTTTAAAGTTATAGAATCTTAAAAACAGCAGAATTTACAAAAAAAATTCTAGTTTAGTGATACCAAGCAAAATATTTGAAAAGAGAGATATTTAATTCATACTAAATGAAAATGTAGCAGTGACATTGATTCTTTTTTCTCTTCTTCTAATTGCCCTATTTCATGATGACGTCACATCAAAACAAACTATTGTTTTAACGAGAAGATATAACTAGCTAAAAACTAGTGTGTGAGCTGCGTCGGTATTTCTAATGAAACAGTAATGATAAAAAGGTGAATTATACACCGTGAAAAGATAAAAAACTTACTGACGTTTCGGACGCTAGCCCTTCGTCGGAGTAAAAGAGAAAGACTGGTAGAAAGGAGTGTTTATATGATAGAATAAGACAAAGGAAATCGCCCCATGTAAGGGAATCCGGAATTCGGAATCCATGAAATTTTAGGCTTTGGATCCGGAATCCAGTTCATAATGGAATCCGGAATCCGCTACTTTGAAATTCATAGTATACACTCAAATGCTATCGCCTCGACCTAGGACTGAACCGATGTAGCCCCTCCCCCACTGTGTAATATCTCCACCCCAGAATATCTGTCATCAGGTGCTGATTTAATTGATAGACGATTCTACTTATACTGGCAAGTATATCAAATATAATTTTCAGAGAAAGTAACTAAGATTAAGGATATGGAATCCGGAATCCGCAATACAAACGTTTTGGAATCCGGAATCCAGCGCTTGGAATCCGGAATCCACCATAAGTCCGGTTCCCTTACATGGGGCGAAAAGAGACCGATGGGAACAAGGTAGGCAAGGAAACAAAAACAAACAATCAAAAGACAAAAGAAAGGGTTAGTTGAAAGCAAAGCGTTCATTAATCCCGTTGGGACTAAGAGTGCCCAATAGGTGAATAAGCCGCATTTCTTTGGACTTGCGACAATCATTGTTGCCGTTAATCAAAGAAAGACCGAAAACAATGAAGTCAGAAAGAGAATAAAAAGATATAACTAGCTAAAAACTAGTGTGAGCTGCGTCGGTGTTTCTAATGAAACAGTAATGATGAAAAGGTAAATTATACACCGTGAAAAGATGAAAG